CAAAAATAAAGTTGAAAAATCCAAACCAAGTGACAAAGTATTACCTGTTACCAGAGAGACAAAAGCATATTCATTAAAGAATACAACAGATGATCAAAGTAGAACAGTGATTGACCGAAAAAAATCTCGAATAATTAAACACCCGGCAATATCACCCTCGCTTTCAAATAACAAATTTAGTGTAAAGTCAGTAAACAAAATGAAAGCTAGAAATAATACAGTATCATTCAATTCAAGGTTAAAAGTAATCTCCCCTAGAAGGAATAAAAACAAAATAAGAAAGTTGCCCATCATTAAAACGCAAAGTACTAAAATAAAAAATGACAAGGTATCAATAAAGAACAAGAAAATAAATGAAATCAAGAATAAATTAGGTTCCCCCTCTCCGCAACCTAAAAGAAAGAAAATTAAAAAGATTAAATTCATTTTCAAGAACACTAAAAAAAGTAGCTCCAGAAGAACCCCAGGCCCCCAAAAGATAATGAAATTCCCAAAATTAGTCAGAGAAAAGACGGCAACAAAAAGCAGAAGTGTGAATCCCTCCCGCGAATTGACAACTGAAGAGAATCAACTACTTCTAACTCAGAACAATTCTCTTATCCATTCAGTGGAGCCATCTAACAGACACATACTTGTCAAGATATTACAGTACCTCTATAGCAACTCAACAAGCCCAATCTCCTTAGACAATATCAAACAAGAAATTCTTTCCACGACTTCCAAGGAACAACAAATCATCATTTTCGACATCCTGGCTGCCTACCTGGGAGGCACGCCGCCTGATAATTCCTACCTTGTAGGTAATCTGTATAGTAGTAGACCCTGACGCTCCAATCGTTGTCCCTAGGGAGGTAGCAGAGTCTTCTAGAAAATCAGTGTGGTTTTCCCAATGTAACCGTTCTTTGTTTTACACTACAACCCTCTTGTCTTGTTCCCCAATTATAAAAATGTAGTACAGCTTTTAGATAATTAGTAGAGCTTCATTATCCTCAAAGTCCCTGCTTGGAATGCAAATTATAAAAGTAAAAATACAGTTTTAACTTCATAAAATGAATTGAAATATAATGAGAGAAAATAGCTAAAAAATAGAACAACTAACAGAAAGTCTCAAAAACAGCAATGAAGTAACAAATGTAAATTATTTGTCTTGTTGTATATCACAGGTGATGGTACTAACACAGAATTAGTCAAGTTTTGCATGAAGTGTTAAAATAACCTTCACATATAAGAATAACTTTATTTTTTTCAATAACCTTTTACAGCAAAATATATAAGTATCATTTCAATTTTTATATTTTTATGTGAAAAGAGTAAATGAATTTACAATTCACTTGGTATTATATTCTATAACATATTTTGTTCTTTCCATGATTGTCATATGTATTCATATTTGTGAACCATTTTTATGATTGCTGATTAGATTGCTGATTAATGAAATTTATCAATTTTTAAAGGAAAAACTAACAGAACAACGGTCAACATCGAGCCGCCAAGAAATGTCCATATCCAGCAAAAGCCAGTCCCCAAAGATTCTCACCGCTTCGGCAAGTGGCCAGACTACAAAGGCAAACAACAACGCGTAACCCCATCACCTATAGATCCACGGCAATTGAAGAGTATTGGAACAACTATTTTCCCAAATGACCTCACTACTATTCCTACTTACCCACCAACGAAATCTTTCTGGGACAATCTGTTTAATTTTACACCAACAACACCGTTCCCAGGAAATAAACCGGGCACCTGCCCGACAGCATTTGCTTTAATGTTTGATTGTCATGGCGCTTGTAGCCATGACAGCCATTGTTATGGCCGTCAGAAGTGTTGCCATGACGGCCGAGGCACGGGTTGTTGTGCTAATCCGGAAACTATGGACGTTGGTTTCAATAACTTGTTAATGCCATTTATGATGGCAGAGGGTCAGGGGCAGGGAGGTCAGAATCAGAATGGACGATTTTTTGGTGAATTGCTGACAAGAAAGAAAAAATAGACTTTCTCAATAAAGAGAAATTGCATTTTTTGTTATCATTCAATGACTGTATGATTTTATTCTTTACTTCGTGTTAGTTTAACTATCATTGTTATATATAGCTTTTCTTTAAAGTTATTTTAATAAAGTATGTTTTTATTTGTAAGATCTGAAAATATGTGTTACTAAATTTTCAGAAAGCCTTTTTTTGGTAGGAGATGCTCACTCCTCCATGACACGTGACCCCACCTGATGTTTGGGAGGTATGTTTTGCTCTGTTCCTGATTTGTATAGCTAAATGGACGTTTGAGATTGAATACTGTTCGTTCTTTACAGAAAATATATAGAAAATAAATCTGACAAGGAAAAGTGAAAGCAATCTCTCAGTTCATTCTTACAAGCATAAAATTAGACCACTATTGCCGGTATTTTTAGGGTATAGGGTGTGAAGGTGCGAAGGGGGTTATAGACCTTTCTCTTACTTTTTCGAATCGGTCAGCCCTCGATCTCACAGAACCAACAGAACGTGGGAGAGGTAAGGAAAAGTCTATTAAAGTGCAAAAGTCTATTAAAGTGCAAAAGTCTATTAAAGCAATACAAATCGGAAGTAGAGCAAACACCTTAACATCAGAAGTTAGATCAGGTTCCATGAAGAAGTAAGCATCCCCTTTCGACTGGTTACACACGCCGTTTGCAATCATGATGACTGAACTAAAGAAAAAACGCCGACAATTAGTATGAGAAACGTCAGACAACATATGTTTCAAATGATACTATTGTGTTTGATTACTTTGTCACTGCATCAATAGTATCATTGACTGAAAATGAGAATTGTTGATATTCTCGTTTAATCAACATATTTGTCAGAAGATTACATCATTGTGTGCAACCCCTGCCTATCGGTAAAATCCTCCGTGTTCTCCTTGTCATGATCAGGAAAATGGAAATATCCGTCCACGATCCAGTGTGCAAATAAAGGTATAACAGTATGCAAAATGTCAGTCAGCATTTGACTAAATGTTTAATTAAATTTGCTAACACGGTCTTTGTATCGACCATAGGATTGATGATGATTGTAAACAATACTTTTGATACTTTTATTACTTCAACTTATTTGTCAATAAATTATAAATTAGTTTTAGAAATTCAAATTATTCATAAGTAGAGCATGCTCTTACGTACCTAATAAACTGAGGGATATAAACCCTGTATGCAGATGATATAGGTATATTGCTGCATAAATAAGGGAAGTTGAAGTCACCGCGTTTATCATAAAGCTTAGTTGTTGCATTACCACTAAATCGTTTTCAATTAAAATATCCAAACATGAAACAGATATGTCAGACTCTGTGGTGTCTATTATTCCAAGTTCGTCGACTATCAATGAAAATAACTATTATTAATGTATCATAAGCAACAAAGCATTTACATTTCGACTTGAATGTCAAAGAGAGACTTTCTTCTCATGTTGAAAATTTCTTATATATTCTGCTTCATGTGAATGAAAATGGGTCAGCTAATGACGGAATGCAATTTTTACGTTAAATAAATTGATCTTCAAAAACTACATAGGTAATGTTAATCAGAAACTAAAACAATGTTGAATGTTCTTTGAATAAAAAAAACGGAGAAAAAATTATAAATTAATTTTAAAAAAATGAGAAAAAAGAGAATTTTATATAAGAGTTAGGAAGGGAAAAGACTGAAGCTCTCATAGATAGTGTGGATATTCTCTCTTAAACGAGGAACTGTTATTCAAAAAAAAATTTACCTGAATGTCTCAAAACGAAGCTGAAGACTGAGACGTTTTCGTGCAACATATTTTGTGTATCTCAATGTACTATTTGTTCAAAGTTCACTGAAGCTTAAAAAGATGTTTTGTAAAAAAAAAAATTGATACCGGTATTCTCAACCAATTATAAATCACAATAAATTAGTTATCAATTCATACAATTTTTAAATCTATTATATCCCTTTACCTTGGCTTAGATAAAAATACTACAAATGTATATGACATTGGAAGTTATCCACCATATCGTAAATGAGAGAAAAAAATTTTACACTTGATTTATATAACAATTGAAGTAAATGGAAGTACTAAGTGACTTTATATGTATAAAAAATAGCACACTTCTATAGTATTCCTTATCCTAAGATGTCACTAAATGATTAAAAAGACTACATGAACAAAATTTTATAGTTCCAGAAGACAAGTCACTATATTTAAGAAGACAAGAATAACTTTATTTAAGGGAATTTTTTTTTTACATCTGCAAATTATGTTCAGAATTCATTTTCTTAGAATGAAAGTCTTCATAATCAATATTAGTCTTTAATATTTCCAACACATGCCAATCTACCAAGGAGAGTTCGGTCTACTCAACCTCTACTAGATATCTTAATTTCAGAAAAATCCATCCAAAGACATGGTTATTTGTTATTTTATCATATTTATGTTGTAATGCAATAAATCCCAGTTAATTCAATGCTCAAGAGCAAATGACCACATTTCAAACCTAGGCAAGTTATTGACATAAAAGTTGATGCTACAGATATTTTATCAACTATCTTGAATTCTATGGTTAATAAAAATCACATCCTTTACAAATATAGCCTATAATTAGGTCATGTAATGGCTAACGTGTTTCACATTTATTGTGTGGGCTTTGCTTTTAGACTGGATCACATGACCTCATCTATTAGTTTACCTCAAAATGTAAACCATGTGAATAACACATGAATTAATTCTACACTTTACCCCTATAATAAGCAACAAATATTTTCCTATAGTATATAACAGTTTTACTTAAGAGAATCAACGTATTTTTACTGTGATTTCTAATCATAATATATTATGTTCCTCATTTCAAACATATTATCGTTTTTGAAAGAAAAGATCATTTTCAAAATAATCCTGTAAGGATTATTACCGATGCAATGGGAAAAAATTGGGGAAGAATGACCCTTTACTAAGTAAAGATTAGTGACACAGATCGTTATTCTTATTCTCCTAACTTTGACCTTACATAGGCGGTAGAGAAGTGCTATCGCCTCGTTCCTTGATAAGAGAAAATACAACCATGTACAGGCTGCATATCATATTAATTTTTATAACACATTCAACTTTATCAAATTGTAAGTAATTTTTTTTTAATTTATGTGTCATGTAATTTTCACACTTTACGTCTATATTAGTGTCAATTTAAATTTGAAGAATTTTATATAGGTATGATAAACAGAGGAAATTTATTGTTTTGTTATTAAATCAATAACTAGAAAGGATTGCTTGACATTTTCTAGAGTGCAAAGCATGAGTGAATGTATAAATGAAAATCTGTCTTACGTGCAAAATAAATTCCTATCCATCTTTTAAAATATTGAATTTTCTGTAAAAGTTCATTACATTTTCTTCCATCTGCCTCTGTCTTTTTGCGCCCGTCCTTCTTTAAAGGGGCTGGGGGTTGCAGCCTTTTAAGATATTTCGATCTCCTGTAGGAGAGGAGCTCCATATATGATATACAAAAATGATCAAATTTTAAAACTAAAATGTATGATTTTTTTCTTTGCCAAATGATAGTTGACGGCTTAATATACCGTGATTAAAAAAATAAGTTAAATCTGGTGGTTAATTTGTTGACCCCTCAGCCTCCTTAACATAGTGTATAATGTTTTGTTCTCATAGTTGAGTGTTTGAGAACATTCTTCGTGAAGAGAAGGGAAAGCAAGTTTCACACTGTGTTAAAACCGCGCTTCAATACAACATTAGCTGTTAAAAATAAAATGAATATATTTATATTTTAGTTACCATCGAGTTCATCGAAAAATTTTTTGTATAAATGTTTGTTATGATAATTCCAATCTTAGAGTCATTTTATCATATAAAATTTAAGTTATTTCTGGCTCGCAAGCATGTTTCCTACACTCAAATTTGGGGGTGGAGGCAAGCATGTATCGTCTGTCGTTTGTTGTTTTCAAGTAAGCTTTATCGGACGCAAGATTTTATTGACGTCAAGTTAATTCCGGTTCTTTCAAACGCGCAAACTTGACGTTTTGATGAAGCCCCTACGGTGAACCATCCGCAGTATATATATTTTTCCACGAAAACGTAAAATTGGCATTACCGTTGTGTTAATTTAACGTGTGTTGCGTAATCGAGTGATAGTCGGTAATGGATAAATTGTTAACTGCTGTGATCTAAACCAATCAGATTTTAGTATTTAACATGAAAGTATAATAAACAAAAATTATCAAATTTTAAAACTAAAATGTACGGATTTTTTTTTCAAATTGAATTGCCATTAAAAATGAAGTGAAAGAGACGTGTGGCTGTAATATACCGTGATTAAAAAAATAAGTTAAACTGGAAAAAATGGTTGAATGATTTTGGAGGAATTTGTTGATTTCCGTTATCGAATTTTCCGTTTCATTAACACATTGTATAATGTTTTGTTCTCATTTTCCTTTGAGTGTTCGAGAAATTACATGTACGTGAAGATTCTGTGTGAAAGCAAGTTTCAAAAAGTGATAGAATTTTGACTTCAATTCAATAAATTAAGAACAACATTAGCTGTTGAAAATGAAATGAATATGTTTATATTTTAGTTACCATTGAGTTCATCGAAAGAACTTTTGTATAAATGTATACTAGTACCTATATTCAATTCCAATCTTCGTAGTCATTTTATTAATACATAATTTAAACTTTAATATTAGATTGATATTTGTGGTTGACCTTCTTAATTGGGAATGTTTAGGTATAAGATGCCCTCATTGTGCAGGTGATACCTGCCACACTACAGTATGTGATGGAGCATGTTTGTATCATCTTCACCCAAATCAATTTCCTACTCTAGTAAAATGTGAGGTAAGTCTCCAGCATTTGTGAATACCCACGAGTTTTTCACCATTTTTATTCCGAAGTTCCAATCCATTTCCCAACATTTCTGAGTCCTGATCAATTTCCTTAGATTTTTGAGTCCTAACCAATTTCCAAAGATTTCTGAGTCCCGCTCAATTTCCTAAGATTTCTGAGTCCTAATCATGTCGCAAGGTTTCTGAGTCCCGATCAATTTCCCAAGATTTCTGAGTCCTAATTATCTCGCAAGATTTCTGAGTCCCGCTCAATTTCCTACGATTTCTGAGTCCTAATCGATGTCTTAAGATTTCTGAGTCCTAACTGATCACAATCGATGTCTTAAGATTTCTGAGTCCTAACCAATGTCCCAAGATTTCTGAATCCTAATCAATTTCCTAAGATTTCTGAGTCCTAATCATTGTTGCAAGATTTCTGAGTCCTCTTCAATTTCCCTAGATTTCTGATTCCTAATCAATGTCCCAAGATTTCTTAGTCCTAATCATGACGCAAGATTCCTGTGTCCTAATCAATGTCCCAAGATTTATGAATCCGAATTAATATCCCAAGATTTCTGACTCCATATCATTTCCCCAAATTTCTGAATCCCTAACAATATCCCTCCTTTTTTAAAGGCCAACTAGTTTTTTTTTTAAATTGAGAAATCAATTTTGTATTCTACAATGTAAGTTAGGCTAGCTCAGTATCATGGATTTTTCTTTAATATAAACATGTAAGACAATATCCTTTGTGATTGTTCTCTTATGCATCAACATTAGGCTTGGAAAGTATTCACAGTAGGTAAGAGGATCATTTTATTGGCCCTCATTTGTATGATAACTGTTACTCCAGAATTCTTTCTCAGTTTTGTAAAAAAAAATATTTTAAAATATCTGGTACAATTGCACATTATGATATGGACTCTTCTCAAAACGGGATGAAGAAAACTAATGCAAACAAAACGACATCATTCGTTGATCAGTAAATTCACAGTAGTTGCCTTTACCTATTCTACAAAGCTCATGTCAGTTGGGAAGTATATCTGTGTTCAGATTTACATACTGTCTAGTATTCTTCAAAGGATTTCTACAATGTCATGAGAACTTTTGAAGCTGAAACTCAGTATATAACGCAATTAAGAAATGATTTTAAAAATACTCTTTAATATCAAGTTTCAGATTTTTAAAAAAAACTTAACGAGGTCGAGTCTAATTATTTCTGCCCTAGAGATTTTGATAATTTTTTGATGATTAATTTTTACTGTTATATTTATTGTTTTAAGATTAAAAAATCGAATGTTTACCATCCCGATTTCTTCGCGGGTCATCGCAAAAGTTGTCAAATTTTACAATTGGACCTATGGGAATTTGTTGGAAAAGCCAAATTATCACATTTCCCCCCATATTTTATGTATTTCTGTCCTAGAGATTTCTTTTTCAAGTGAATGAAAGTTATTGTAAAAGTCACCAAATTGTCAAAATTCAGAAAGGTTCACCATCTAAGTTGATCTATGAATTAATTTCTAAGTTTATTTTTTCAAAGCCAAATAACCTCTAAAATTGCCATATTACGGTATGAATAAATATTAGTGCAGATGAATTATCGCCACAAAATTTTTTTTTCGGTAAAAAAAACAATGTTTAGATTTCTAGTCTGTTTCTTTGGATGTTCTGCATCAGTTTTTAGTATATTATTCATGGACGTCTTGAATATACAAGCGAGTCACTCGTCACTCTTCAACGTCATGCATTGCTTACCAAATCCGACACATGGTGACGTCGTTATAGCCATTTCAGCATTTTTTCCTAATTAATGTCGTTAAATCACATTTTCACTCGAATCAGACTCGGCCTCGTTAAATAATCTTTATTTCTTCAATGCTGTTAAGGCGTCTAAGAAGTTTTATGTTCAGGTATCACGTTTTTCTTCTTAAACTTTAATTACTAAACAGTACCAGTTAAGAAATCTAGTTGTCAAGTTTTGAAACGTTTTATCTACAAGCAAATTATATAATTATTTGCAATGGTTTACCAGCCATTATTTAAATATATTGATTATATAACATAAATTTTATATACTATAACTAAAATACCCATATTTAACTGGCATTCATTTTACTAAAAAAAATTTACACTTAATAATAAACAACTTATTATTAGGTTTGTGTATAATTTTTTTTAGACTTCATGATTTTACTATTTCTTTTCACAGACTTCATGTCACCACCACCACGGCGATTCAAAATGCTGCGAGCACGAAAACTGCATAGGTCCTATGCATATTTATATCCTTAATTTATCTGTTAATATAAAAATATGGATTGAAAGAGTTAGTGTTTCAAACATGCCTTTCTTATGAAGGTTACATATACTCGTACATGGTTACTAGAAAACAACACATCGTGAAGTTAAATATACAAATACTTCTCAATTTATTATTTTATAAATGTGAAATAATCACCATAATTTGAATATTTAAATATAGAATAATAATTCTTAAATTGTGCAAAATGACATGCTATTTTTTCAGCTGAAGCATTTGGAGATCTGTATTCAAAAACGTGTGAGCATTAAATTTGATCACTTTTTAAAATGTAGAGTTAAGAAACACTGATCATAGAATGAATGGTTATTTTATGTTCCATCCAAAAAGTATTATTTCTCTTTTCTTCTCTTTCTCCCGCCTCTCTCCTCTTTTTTTTTTCTATTTTCCTGTTCGGGTAGATCAAAAATGATTTCCTCACACACTTTAAAAAAAAAATTGTGTAGTAAAAATTAAAACTTTTTTCTTGCCATTACTATTTAATGATTTCAGTTGTAATCTATTTCATCTTTTTTTCTCAGTCGTGAATTGCCCTGTTTGCCATGGAGGTAAATGTCATAAAGTAAAATGTATTGAATGTAAGGTTCATTTACATAACTGTGTGCAAGAAGGCACCTGCTATATACAGGTATGTTTACTTTTTTATACGTCTGATTTAAATAATGTGTCACAGTGCAAAAAAAAAAAACACGATAATATGGGGTACAATTAAAGGGGTCATCAAATCATCTTACAGTCTGGCAAGTGTCATGTTGGTGCACACGAGAAATGCTGCAGAGATGATACTTGTATCGGTGAGAGATAATTTGAGATATTAGGTAATATAAGATTATGTTCTAAATGCCAGTCATAAACATCACCACTTTATACTCTCTCAAAAACAAAAAAAGTTACCATCATTACAGAACACGCGTTTTCGAAATGCCATACAACAACACATAATTCAACAAAGGCACCTTCAACGAAGCAAACCTCATCTTCCTCATCCGTATCACGTACGACAACACCAAGATCGATATCTACAGTCTCCAGCACACTGAAGGAAATAGATTCTACCTCATCGAATACACTTCATGTGAGCTCACCAACAAGTGAAAAACCTATGATGTCGACCAATGGAGTCATTTCAACTCATGTCTCCCCCAGTACCACAATATCCTCAACTTCTAGCTCTTCTCAAAGTAATTTTTTTTTGAATACAGAAGTTATATATGATTTGCATGTCCTCCAGTTATTTCGGTGAAGGAGCATACTTTGCGTTCAAACAATTTTTAAAACGAGGCAAGCTAATGAAAATAATGATGAAACTTAATTAATTATCCTTTTAGCATATATAATAAAGCAGAACATGATTCAAGTACGAGGGCCGTTCAAAAATTACGCGGACTGTGCCATTATTTACTCTTACAGACGTCATATAGTTATAAAATTCACAGAAATATGTATCTTATCAATGTTAACCAGGTGTTCGTCAAAGAACATGTAAAGTTTGTGGCGATTATGGCAATGGGATACCATGTGACATTCGTAGTATATACATCGGACCTACGGCACAGTGTGAGGTAGGAAATGATTTCTGCATGACGGACATGATACACGACGGATCCGGAAATGAAAAAGTTTTTAAAAGGTCAGTACATTCCGTGTTCTTGTAAATATGTCAAAATAATGCTGTACTCTATTAAGGGTGTCGCATTGTACCGTTTTAAACAGGTGCGTGAATGAGACTGTCTGCAGAACTCAGTGGTTATCTCAGACCTCGGACCAGGACCACTGTACACAGTTCGGTAAAGTCCTGGTTAATGGTGCCTACTCCTGTCACTTCTGCTGTACATCCGATGAATGTAATCAGGGACTACTGCCAGGCTCTACCACCTTATATACCAGGAGATAAAATTATTATCATTGACCGGGATGTAAGATGGTCTGTCTGGTTCTCCACATAAAAAAATAATCAACTGAATTAACAATGTTATCTACATTAACCAGGCTTACCGTAAACAATAAAAAGAACTGCTGAAAAAGGTATCCGTACTATTATTTGTTTACACGAGGTTTAATATTACACAACTACCACTAAGTGGATATTCTATAAACGTGGAAATTCCAAGGGTAAGATCAGGAACCAAGGAGAAATAAGCCTGTTGACTGGTCACACTCTTCGTGAGCCTTATGTATTGATCAGGTAGAGATTGCGTAGTCAAAAAAAGAATAAAAACAAAGGCTTAACGATTGTTGTGTAAGAAATCAGCCAACGCAGAGTGATGTCTTATTTGCTAACAAGGTTACAACAATTTAAAGCGAAGAATTTGGTTTCGAAAACATGATGCGTTTGTGCATGTAGTCGTGTATTTGTAATTTACATGCCGAGGAATTAACAAGGGTGTTAAGGTAAACTTGAGGTATTTCGCCCAAAAAGAATCTTAACCGTGGTCCTGGTGAGAGCATGAGGTTTTCATAAATTTTTTGGTCTTAAACAGTTAAAGTTTTCCTTGATGAATTTGTTGGATCTAGATCACTGGAAAGTACTGAGTATTGGACATGGCAAAAATAAGGTAGTAATTTGTAGCTACAATGCATTCAAAACGGTCGTTCTTGTCATGATAGGGAAAATAATGGAAAATAAAATTTAGTCGTAAAAAAGCTGAAAGGGTTTACTCCCCATCCATTCCATACTTTATCAAATAGGACATCGGAGTTTGGATAAGTCTCTATTTTCATGCAGGTTTGTTAAGGTTTACCCATATAAGTGGAATGTTTTTTCTGCGGCTGGCCCTCACAATCAAAAGCGATTCTTCGTTCCTAGAGATAGTCGACAATTTAGAGATAAAGCATTTTCTTTCAGAAACAAAACTTCTGTTTTATTACATAAGTTTTATATTTTATCATTTATTAGCTGCTAATGTTTTATATAAAATCATCAGAAACACATGAAAATAAAGTCTAGAAGAAATAGTTTCCAATTCAATGATTTTGGCTTCTTTTGAACAAATCCTCAGTGAAACACATTTTTCCGTTGTAGGAAAATCATGATAATACTTTCTTTAACTCAAATAAAAAAAAAATCAAATATGAACTTTATTTTATTTTAACGTCAATCGGCAACTTTCCTTACTTCTGCAGCAATATACCTTCTTCTCATAAATGTACATATATCTCAGTTGATTCCGTTAAGCTTGAGATAAATGATACCACACAATCAGACACATTCGTGTTATATTTGGATATTTTACCAAAAAAAGACGTTAATTGTAATCTATTTACCAACCTTTATGATAAGAGTGATGACTTAAACTTTGCTTTACTTATGCAGCAATATACCTTCAACATCTGCACATGGAGTTTATATCTCTCAGTTGATTCGCTATGTAAGAGCATGCTCTATGTATGAACAATTTCTAAAACGAGGTAAATTATTGACAAGCAAGTTGATAAAGCAAGAATATCAGCAAACTCGTTTAAAGTCATCATTTCGTTAGTTCTATGGTCGATACAATGATTTTGTCAGCAAATATAATTTATCATTGAGTCAAATGTTGACTGACGTTTTTCATACTTATTGTTAGTCTATTATTTATACATTGAATTGACGACGGATTTTCCCGTTATTTCCTGATCATCACAAGGAGCGCACGGCGGGTGTGACCGATCAGCAGGGGATGCTCACTCCTCCATGGCACCTGATCCCACCCCTGATGTTTCGGAGATCTGTGTTTGCTTTTCTCCTGTTTTGTATTGTTTTATGGACTTTGAGGTTGCATACTGTTCGTTGTCTCCATATCCTTCTAATAAATCGTTGGTCACTTGCATTTTTCATTTCCAAAATTAAAGCATCAAGAGTTTATCCCGAACGCAGAAAAGCAATTGCTGATTGATCGAATGATGTTGATCAACTCCAATCACAATTTTAGCAAAATAAATCCCCATATTTGATGAAGCTGATCAAGAGTTTTTGATGGCCATGGTTAGTGAAAATCAGTCTTTCGGTTGATACCATATTTAGCAGAGGTCCAGTGTCACAGTAACTGTTGGCAAGAAAATATTCCTTACCGCTCAATGACCTTCAGTACAGAAGTATTTGCATATAGTAATTCGTGCACTGTCTGACGTAATCCTTTTATCTCTATAAGTTACGACCATGACCATTATATAACATGAGCTATACAAGTGATACTGTTTTCTGCAGAATGATCCTAGTAATATTAACATTGTTTTCCTCGGCTGGAATCTCATTAAGTAAGTTGTTTATTAATATGCATAGAATTATGATGCTACAAACAAATGTTTTCTATAACCTTAAACGACACTATCAATTCCTAATAAATTTTTTGATAAATTCTGATTCGTAAATCTTTATTCTCTATTGTAGTGATGTAATGCATTCTGTGATATATTCCGTACATCTAAAAAATGCATGTTAAAACTGGAGTTATAATCTGCGCTGAGTTTTAAGTAGCCGATTTATGTATAAGGCGATATTACCCATATGACTCAAAATTACTGTGATGTCAAATATTAAAGTTTACCATCAATTTAAATTAATATAAGCATATATTATATAAGAAGATTATTTTCGTAGTTTTCATCGGCTGAAAGTACTTCATGTGATATTCCTCCTTTTGTGATATCGACGCGAAAGCGTGTCCGCGGAAAATGATATCGCACGACACGCCGTTCGTTTGCACTAAAGTTACGTAGTACGTGACGTCATAATATAAGAAGCGTGAATTTAACCAGTGTGACGTAATGACAACCAAGTCCGTTAAGTTAGGACTGTGTCACTGCATTCAATTTGAGTGATTATATAATATAACTATTATGGACTTCAGTGAACGGTCAATATGTGGTTATAAGGACTCATGGCAATTGACAGCTACCTCACAGGCTCTGTCGCTATCACTTTCTGTGTCTTCGGTCAATATCACTTGCCATGAGTCCTTATAACCACATATCGACCTACACTGAAGTCCATAATTTTATAGTGATATACATTATGATTTGTGATTTATAAGAAGTAAACATCACTTGCGATGCAAGATGAACAAGAAAGGACTGTCATTATAGAAAGGCCAATCAAATAAAATTTGAAGATTACGAGCAGAATTCCGTTCAAAATACAATTAACCAATACATACAAGAGAAGAGCAAACACGGATAAAAAAATTCAGATGTGGGATTGGGAGCCATGGAGGAGAACACATCCCCTATATTGGACAAGTTTAACTGAAAAAAAACCCAGTAAACAAGCATGGATAAAAGCCCTATGCCATCTTTAACATTGTTTAAATATGTATGGCTGCTCTCTCCCAACTGACTAACTATTGACCCTCCTCAAAACTTACATTTATATTCCAGGACATGATTTTTTTTCTTTTTAATTTTTTCAGAAACTTTCAATTTTGTTGATGGAATGAAAGTTTCTGGAATAAAAATATTTTTCACCGACCTACAAACCCAGTAATTTTACACTGAGTCGGAAGAGGGCAAACAAACGCTATTTTAAAGATGATTTAACAATTACATGTGGTATGAAATCGTCAATCAACAACGTCACGATACATCGAATCTTTTATTTCAAGTTCACTGGGAGATAGCGAGCCAGCATATAAATAAAAGTGCTTAATATTAATGCGTCGTCTTTATATGGTAATGTCGAGATAAAGGCCACGGCATATGTTCTCTTCTTATGTAACCTTTTTTAAAAATCAAAGTTTGGGTTTGAAGAATTGAATTTTTACATGAATCACGTTTAAATGAAAAAAATATTTTAAAATCAATATAAATGATTTGACACTGACAGTGAGTTTTTCAAGAATTTACCCATTACAAACAGGCCAGTCTGGTTCCCTCTCCTGCTTTACCTCGTATGTGTAGAGAACTACGGTAACACTGATTATCAAAAATCCTTACTCGATTGAACTATGATCTTTGACTTATGAAGTTTTCAAAGTCATTTATATATTTATTTTATATAGATAAAACTTCGTTTTATTTTTGTTGCTTTATTTAGCGTTTGTATTATCTCAAAAGCGGTTGAGAGTAAGAACTATATTTTTGCAAGTTTTTAAAATGGCGACTATTGGGTTAACATCCTGCCTTGAACAGGATCACATAAGCCGGCAATTGCTCTTTGAGCAATAAGCTCGGCTAATAAATACAGAATAAGTATGATAAAATTTTGGCCGCAAAAGGTATCCAAGGAAATAATCAATGGAAGACCTATTCTACAAAAATTACATAGAAATTGTCAATCGGAAACTGAAGCTTCTTTTTCATGCTAAAGTCAGAGTACTTGTGTAGATGTTTACAATCCAATTGTTTTGAAGTAATTTTACAAATGACCAAAGACAATGTTAATGAATTTATGAGTTCTATTTTCAAATGTAATGCAGCTGTCTATGAAATCAAAAGCCTTTCACTTTGAATTGTCGTAGAGGATGAATGTTTATTTAATGATGTATTTTTGATGTTATAAATTTTAGTAGAATTTAGTAATTTTAGGTTTTCTAAAGTTTCAAAGAAATATTTGAAAAATACAAAATGTTGAAATGCGTATTTGTTTAATTCTTGGAGTTTTAAAGTATCCAATCTGATTGACACCACTTTCTGAATATGTTGTTCTTCAGTACTTCTGAAGTTTCTCCTTCACGACTGTTAATATTTAAGCGACGAATAAAAATAAAGGCTGGTTAGAACATCAACTGGAACCCAGAATACATCTTTGTATGTAAGAATTTTTATGAAATTAATGATCCAGTATTGGATTGAAAATTCAGTTTCATTGTTGAAAAGTTCAAAATATTTAAATTTGACACATAACCTTGAAGAATTTACTCGTTATAAAGGGAATTATAGGTATAAATTACAGATTCCGATATCTCAAATACCATGTAGATTTTAACTTATAGAATCAAATCACAATTTATAATTTCAAAATGAGTCTCACAATACAAACCAATGTAAATACCTGCTTTTTCAACACGGC